CGTGACAGCTGACTAACACCCAGGTACCTATTTTACTGCTAGGTAACAGGGGCATAGGGTGAAAGAAACCCTGCCCATTGCCACCTCTTGGGTGGCAATGGCAGTTTCCTTTACAGAAGGAAATGACTTAATGGCAGAGTTTAAAATACACGAGTCCTTCGGCAACTTGTAACACTGTTAAAGGACATAGACGCTACATCTTTTATGTAAGTAAAGTAATGAGTACATATGTAGTAGGACTTCTTCTCCTTCTTCCACTCCTTGAAGGAAACAATCTAGTTTCCTCTTAATGATGTATACTTATCAAGCAATAGCCTCATGACGAAGTGGTTGAAGAAAGAAGGCCAAAAGATCAGTTGAATTTGCAAGCTGGTACAATGCAGCTGCAACCTGCAACCTGAATAGTTATGGAAGAGAGCTGGCCGAGGGAGAGAGCCTTGCAATAGCTACAACTCTACGCAAATACGCAGAAAATTCGGAATGAAAATGACAGCAGACAGCGGGGCTGCACAATCTGTGGCAGAGATTCACCACGACTTGAAAGACTTGTGCCCACCTTGGAGATACTATATCTATATGTAGGATGAACAAATCCACAAGGGCCGTGACGAGGATTCGAACGGCCCTTGGATTTGAAGGATTCGAAAGGAATCTTCGTCACGGCCCTTATGGATTTGTTCATTTGATGCATCACGCAATTGTGATTTCTGTGTGTATATGTAGGATATTAAATCTATATGTAGGATATTAAATCTATATGTAGGATATTAAATCTATACGTAGGATATTAAATCTATACGTAGGATATTAAATCTATACGTAGGATATTAAAGCTATATGTAAGATATTAAACATTTGAGGAAGGATGAACAACCCAACGGCTTTGCATCCTATTGGCGGATGTTCTGCACGCTTCTATGTCGGTGTGTTCATTCATAGGACGAATGACGTGGCCCAATTAACTCATCATTTTGGGGCCAAGTGCAAAAATGTAATGTGTGTGTCGGGAGGCGTTTGAGAGCTGGGGCCAGATTCACGAAGCCGTTACGCAAGTACTTACGAACGTGTACATCTTTCCTCAATCTTTGACGGCTTTGGATACATTTATTAAACAGTTTACAAGCATGAAAACTTTCCAATCAACTGTTGTTATTGTTATAAACAGCCTCCTGGTGCTTCGGAGCTCATTAACTGTTTAATAATTGTAAACAAAGCCGCTAAAGATTGAGAAAAGATGTACAGGTTCGTAAGTGCTTGCGTAACTGCTTCGTAAATCTGGCCCCAGGTTCGTAAGTGCTTGCGTAACTGTTTCGTGAATCTGGCCCCTGGGCGGCAGAGGCGCCTGATTAAGAGAGGTATGGTGGGTGGCACACACACACACACACACACACACACACACACACACACACACACACACACACACACACGGGGGCCGCATTGTACTACTCTGTTGATCTCTTGTTTTGCCACCAGCGATACGGTGGGACCACTTGAGTGACAAGTGGCCGCGGGAGGGGTAAGCAGAGAGGTAGTGATGGAAGGGGTCGGAGAAGGGGGGGTGAAGGAGGGGAAAAAGAAGGGACGTAGCAGAGGAAGGGGGAAGGAAGAGGTGCTCCTGAGGGGCGAGTGGAGGAGCTTGGCGGATGGCTCCTGGCGCCGAGTACAGACGTCATGAATAACAAGGTCCTCCTCTTTAGCCTCGCCTCTCCGCCCTCCGTCCTCTATCCCAGAAAGCTTCCCGTCGATGCCTCTTCGGCTGTCTGTCTTACCGTCGTCCTCAGAGAGCCTATCGTCGACCGCAGCCCCGTCGCGGACGAACGAGAGTGTAAATACTCCTCCCGGCACTTGGCCCATGTCCTGTTTGTGTCGTGGACCAACTCTCCCGCCTCCGGCCCCGTCCCGTCGCCTGTTTATCGAAGCTTCTATTAACTCACATGTCTCGTTGACACAGCTCTTACAGTCTGCAACGTCACTTGCCATGCTGCATCCGGTTATTATATCTTGCAGGCCCGTGTGTGTCTTGCAGGCCCGTGTGTGTGTCTTGCAGGCCCGTGTGTCTGTCTTGCAGGCCCGTGTGTGTGTCTTGCAGGCCCGTGTGTGTGTCTTGCAGGCCCGTGGGTCTGCCTTGCAGGCCCGTGTGTGTCTTGCAGGCCCGTGTGTCTGTCTTGCAGGCCCGTGTGTGTGTCTTGCAGGCCCGTGTGTGTGTCTTGCAGGCCCGTGTGTGTGTCTTGCAGGCCCGTGTGTGTGTCTTGCAGGCCCGTGTGTGTGTCTTGCAGGCCCGTGTGTGTGTCTTGCAGGCCCGTGTGTGTGTCTTGCAGGCCCGTGGGTCTGCCTTGCAGGCCCGTGTGTGTCTTGCAGGCCCGTGTGTCTGTCTTGCAGGCCCGTGTGTGTCTTGCAGGCCCGTGTGTGTGTCTTGCAGGCCCGTGGGTCTGCCTTGCAGGCCCGTGTGTGTCTTGCAGGCCCGTGTGTGTGTCTTGCAGGCCCGTGTGTGTGTCTTGCAGGCCCGTGTGTGTGTCTTGCAGGCCCGTGGGTCTGCCTTGCAGGCCCGTGTGTGTCTTGCAGGCCCGTGTGTGTGTCTTGCAGGCCCGTGTGTGTGTCTTGCAGGCCCGTGGGTCTGCCTTGCAGGCCCGTGTGTGTCTTGCAGGCCCGTGTGTGTATCTTGCAGGCCCGTGTGTGTCTTGCAGGCCCGTGTGTGTCTTGCAGGCCCGTGTGTGTGTCTTGCAGGCCCGTGGGTCTGCCTTGCAGGCCCGTGGGTCTGCCTTGCAGGCCCGTGGGTCTGCCTTGCAGGCCCGTGTGTGTCTTGCAGGCCCGTGTGTGTCTTGCAGGCCCGTGGGTCTGTCTTGCAGGCCCGTGTGTCTGTCTTGCAGGCCCGTGTGTGTGTCTTGCAGGCCCGTGTGTGTGTCTTGCAGGCCCGTGTGTGTGTCTTGCAGGCCCGTGTGTCTGTCTTGCAGGCCCGTGTGTGTGTCTTGCAGGCCCGCGGGTCCGTCTTGCAGGCCCGTGGGTCCGTCTTGCAGGCCCGTGGGTCTGTCTTGCAGGCCCGTGTGTGTGTCTTGCAGGCCCGTGGGTCTGCCTTGCAGGCCCGTGGGTCTGCCTTGCAGGCCCGTGGGTCTGTCTTGCAGGCCCGTGGGTCTGTCTTGCAGGCCCGTGGGTCTGTCTTGCAGGCCCGTGGGTCTGTCTTGCAGGCCCGTGGGTCTGTCTTGCAGGCCCGTGGGTCTGTCTTGCAGGCCCGTGGGTCTGTCTTGCAGGCCCGTGGGTCTGTCTTGCAGGCCCGTGGGTCTGTCTTGCAGGCCCGTGGGTCTGTCTTGCAGGTCCGTGGGTCTGTCTTGCAGGTCCGTGGGTCTGTCTTGCAGGCCCGTGGGTCTGTCTTGCAGGCCCGTGGGTCTGTCTTGCAGGCCCGTGGGTCTGTCTTGCAGGCCCGTGGGTCTGTCTTGCAGGCCCGTGGGTCTGTCTTGCAGGCCCGTGGGTCTGTCTTGCAGGCCCGTGGGTCTGTCTTGCAGGCCCGTGGGTCTATCTTGCAGGCCCGTGGGTCTGTCTTGCAGGCCCGTGGGTCCGTCTTGCAGGCCCGTGGGTCTGTCTTGCAGGCCCGTGGGTCCGTCTTGCAGGTCCGTGGGTCTGTCTTGCAGGCCCGTGGGTCTGTCTTGCAGGCCCGTGGGTCTCTCTTGCAGGCCCGTGGGTCTGTCTTGCAGGCCCGTGGGTCCGTCTTGCAGGCCCGTGGGTCTGTCTTGCAGGCCCGTGGGTCCGTCTTGCAGGCCCGTGGGTCTGTCTTGCAGGCCCGTGGGTCTATCTTGCAGGCCCGTGGGTCTGTCTTGCAGGCCCGTGGGTCTGTCTTGCAGGTCCGTGGGTCTGTCTTGCAGGTCCGTGGGTCCGTCTTGCAGGTCCGTGGGTCCGTCTTGCAGGTCCGTGGGTCCGTCTTGCAGGTCCGTGGGTCTGTCTTGCAGGTCCGTGGGTCTGTCTTGCAGGTCCGTGGGTCTGTCTTGCAGGTCCGTGGGTCTGTCTTGCAGGTCCGTGGGTCTGTCTTGCAGGTCCGTGGGTCTGTCTTGCAGGTCCGTGGGTCTGTCTTGCAGGCCCGTGGGTCTGTCTTGCAGGCCCGTGGGTCTGTCTTGCAGGTCCGTGGGTCTGTCTTGCAGGTCCGTGGGTCCGTCTTGCAGGTCCGTGGGTCCGTCTTGCAGGTCCGTGGGTCCGTCTTGCAGGTCCGTGGGTCTGTCTTGCAGGTCCGTGGGTCTGTCTTGCAGGTCCGTGGGTCTGTCTTGCAGGCCCGTGGGTCTGTCTTGCAGGCCCGTGGGTCTATCTTGCAGGCCCGTGGGTCTGTCTTGCAGGCCCGTGGGTCTGTCTTGCAGGTCCGTGGGTCTGTCTTGCAGGTCCGTGGGTCTGTCTTGCAGGTCCGTGGGTCTGTCTTGCAGGTCCGTGGGTCTGTCTTGCAGGTCCGTGGGTCTGTCTTGCAGGTCCGTGGGTCTGTCTTGCAGGCCTGTGGGTCTATTTTTTTGTTAATTTCCCGCGAGTTTATAGGGCAGCGCCACTCATCCTGTGAGTGAACACACCGCCATAGTGACAGTATTGGGCAGCGCCACTCATCCTGTGAGTGAACACACCGCCATAGCAGCATGTACAACACTCCCAATAGGAAGAAAACCAGCTGGGTTGTTCATCCTGTGTGTCCATCTCACACAGACGCAACAGACGCTAGCTAGATACGCAACAGACGCTAGCTAGATACGCAACAGACGCTAGCTAGAGACGCAACAGACGCTAGCTAGAGACGCAACAGACGCTAGCTAGAGACGCAACAGACGCTAGCTAGAGACGCAACAGACGCTAGCTAGAGACGCAACAGACGCTAGCTAGAGACGCAACAGACGCTAGCTAGAGACGCAACAGACAACTAATATATTGAGGTTTAGTTTGATTTTGTTTACAAATGTTATTTGATGTCTTCTTAAATGCGCGCCGTGTCTAATTCAACAGTGTAACCCCCTTTAAGTAACGTTTTCTTTCTCCCACAGCCTTTGAGACGCGCTTGGTCAAGAGACTCCACACTTGAAGACCGCAGCGGCTCCTGTAGTCCACTCCATACATCGAAACCACGAGCCTATTGTATTCTGCATCCATAGAGATAAATGGTGTCTACGTAGCAAATGTCCTCACTAGTCCCAGAAGCAGGACAAGGTGACAGTACACCAACAGACGAAATACTGAGAACGACTTTATAGAAAGTATTTGAAAGTTTTAAAATACAGGATTTTCAACGGGTTTATATGGACCAACATGGAACAGTAAGCCAACGGTAGCTACAGCCACTCACACAGTACCAGAGCCCTAAGTTAAGTGGAAGCCGAAATATTCCAGCACTTGCAAGTGTAGTTGAAACCTGGACAGAAGTGCACCCACCAGAGGGCGGGACGTCCACACGGGTGGTACTCCGGAAGCATGCGCTTGTCGCGGTGGTGTAGCAGTGCGGTGGGCGCGTCGCTGCTGTTAGCGGTGATGGGCGTGCGGGCGGTGATGGGCGTGCGGAGCATGGTGCGAGGCAGCCAGGCGCGGGACGTGGCCCTCGGCAGCAACACCCTACAAGGCCTACAGAGCATGTGGCACAAGGACAGTCAGGAGGAGGAGGTAAGGATCACACTCTCTCAGGTATCCCTTAGGAAGGTCTTCCTCAGTTCAACGACCGGGCCGCGGGGACGCTATGCCCCGAAAACCCCAAGGTAAGGTTTCCGACATTAGAGCGGCTCCCGTACCCACTCATACCCACTCACGTACCCTAAAGACCATACGTGCAACAGGAGCTGCCCAAACCGCATCCACTCATCTATCCTAAACCATTGATATCTATTACAGAGAATATCTATTTGCCTGTCTCTCCACGGCTGTCTCACCCAACTTTTCAAGATGACACATGGGTACAATGGGACTGTCATAGGCCACTTGGAGTTGTTCCCAGTGCCCCCCACACCCCCCATTAAGAAGGAACAGCTCCTATTCCTCATCCCAACGACTCCTATGACGTCTGAAATAGGGGTTTTGTTTTCAAGAGCTTTTCAAACAGTTTTAAGCTGTTCATTATATCCCAACTGACAACGTAATCACAACTATTTAAACTACATTGCTACAATGTTGCATCAAAGTAACGGTTGTTAAAATAACGTTGTGATTATGTTGTAATTGATGGGATCGTATGTTCTGAGAGAGAGAGAGAGAGAGAGAGAGAGAGAGAGAGAGAGAGAGAGAGAGAGAGAGAGAGAGAGAGAGAGACAGAGAGAGAGACAGAGAGAGAGACAGAGAGAGAGAGAGAGAGAGAGAGAGAGAGAGAGAGAGAGAGAGAGAGAGAGAGACAGAGAGAGAGACAGAGAGAGAGACAGAGAGAGAGACAGAGAGAGAGAGAGAGAGAGAGAGAGAGAGAGAGAGAGAGGCGAGAGAGACAGAGAGAGAGACAGGCGAGAGAGAGATGGAGGATGAAGGGAGGAGAGGTTAGGAGGGGTAGGGGAAGAGAGGTGAAAGAGTGGGAATGTTAGGGGGAGAGGGAGAAGAGGTGGGGAAGAGGACTAGGGTAAGAGAGGCCGTGGGAAAGAGACCCCCAGGTACCCCCTATTTAGTATTTGCATTAACGAGACCCAAACCACATTCCCTCGGCCTCACCTTGAGTTGATTTCGGGGCTCAACGTCCCCGCGGCCCGGTCCCTGACCAAATCTCTCCAGGGTATCCAAAACTTTATCTGCACGAGTGCATTCAACTCTGGATTCATTTTCCATTATATTATTATTGTATATTCAAGCTAGTCCCTGAAGTTAGGGGGAGAGATTCTTCTTCTTTTTCTTGAGATGATTTCGGGGCGGCCCGGTCCTCGACCAGGCCTCCACCCCCAGGAAACAGCCTGTGACAGCTGACTAACACCCAGTTACCTATTTACTGCTAGGTAACAGGGGCATAGGGTGAAAGAAACTCTGCACATTGTTTCTTGCCGGCGCCCGGGATCGACCCCGGGACTACAGGATCACAAGTCCAGCGTGCTGTCCGCTCGGCGGACCGGCTCCCCTTTCTGGCGAATTTCTTTTGGTCTTACTCCTAAAATCTTAAACACCCACGAACTGATCGACATATCTCGTTAGCCTGGTGACCGGGCCGCGAGGACACTAAGCCCCGGAAGCACCTCAAGGTACCCTCTAGGTAACCTGACAGCTGAGTGGACAGCGCTTCGGATTCGTTGTCCTGAGGTTCCGGGTTCGATCCCCGGTGGAGGCGGGAACAAATGGGCAGAGTTTCTTTTCCCCCCTGATGCGCCTGTTCACCTAGCAGTAAATAGGTACCTGGGAGTTAGACAGCTGCTACGGGCTGATTCCTGGAAGTATGTGACAAAAATAAGGCCTGGTCGAGGACCGGGCCGCGGGGACGCTAAGCCCCGAAATCATCTCAAGATAACCGGTCGTGGCAAAGTTCATTAAGACGCAACGCGATGGAAGTCACCCTCACAATGGCCATCAAAGTTAATGCTGTTAGGTACTCTTCTTGTACTCTCAGAGCTCCTCTTATGGAGAGTCAGTAATTAGCGTCAACGAGAATTAGTTGGCAAGAATTAGTATCAGTAAGAATTAACTTTAGCAAGAATTAAAAATTAAATCAACAAAACTTTAGCAACGATAGAAATTATCAACAACAAATTTGCATCAATAGGAATTAGCACCAACAAAAATCTAACATCAACAAGAATTACCACCAATATAAGAATTAATATCGTTAACAGATAATTAACACTAATAATAAGAATTATTTGTATCAACCAAAAACGTCAGCATCAATAATTGCAGACTCGGCTCAACTCCCCCCAACCGGAAATGACAAACCGGAAGGGACAAGGCTCTATGGCCCAACAGAACTAGAGGGTTCCCATCCCTAGAGGACGGAACACACTCATGGTCTGTCTGCCTTACCCATGGCCCGAGGAAGGGACTCACCAGACACCCTCGAGCACAATAAACCATACCTAACTCTGGTCTTCAAAGACAGTATAAGACATGGGAGAATCAAGTATTAGACACCCGAGTCACACGTCTCAAAATTGACGTTATCTTGAGGTTATCTTGAGATGATTTCGGGGCTTTAGTGTCCCCGCGGCCCGGTCCTCGACCAGACATCCACCCCCTAGGAAGCAGCCCGTGACAGCTAACTCCCAGGTACCTATTTACTGCTAGGTAGCAGGGGCATTGGGTGAAAGAAACTCTGCCCATTGTTTCTCTCCGGCGCCCGAGATCGAACCCGAGATCACAGGATCACGTGACCAGCGTGTTGTCCGCTCGGCTGACCGGCTCCCTCGACGTGTGTGACGTTTTGGTCCATCCTGGTCCATTGTCAGGTTCTGGACCGACAGAAGGAGGGGGGAAATTAAGGAAAAGCTCCAAGCCATTACAACTATATAGCACTTGGAAGGTCAAGTTAGAGCCCCGCTCCTGTGCCAGCTAAGTCCACTACGGGCTCACCATAGCCCGTGCTACTTGGAACTTTTTGATCCCAGTATCTGAATGTCCTCCATAAAATGCTCCCTCAATACATTATACGGTTCATAGAATGCGCACCCGAACAGTGTCCTCTCCACAGAATGCGTCTTCTCTATAATCTCCACTCCATAGTATGTGCACTCCCTACAGTGTGCTATCCACAGGAAGCGCCCTCCTCCACATAACGTGTCCTTACTCAACCCATTTGTCAAGAGGTTTTCATTTGCAGATAAATAAGATAATGTGCGTAGGTTAGTTGTAGGCTAACTGTTGCTAATTGTAATGTGTGGGGGGGGGGGGGGGGGGGCTGTTGTGTTGTCTGTCATTACGCCAGCTGTGGCCACCACTGTGGGGTCCAGTGTCGCCAGCTGTGGCCACCACTGTGGGGTCCAGTGTCGCTAGCTGTGGCCACCACTGTGGGGTCCAGTGTCGCTAGCTGTGGCCACCACTGTGGGGTCCAGTGTCGCCAGCTGTGGCCACCACTGTGGGGTCCAGTGTCGCTAGCTGTGGCCACCACTGTGGGGGTCCAGTGTCGCTAGCTGTGGCCACCACTGTGGGGTCCAGTGTCGCTAGCTGTGGCCACCACTGTGGGGTCCAGTGTCGCCAGCTGTGGCCACCACTGTGGGGGTCCAGTGTCACCAGCTGTGGCCACCACTGTGGGGGTCCAGTGTCGCTAGCTGTGGCCACCACTGTGGGGTCCAGTGTCACCAGCTGTGGCCACCACTGTGGGGTCCAGTGTCACCAGCTGTGGCCACCACTGTGGGGTCCAGTGTCGCTAGCTGTGGCCACCACTGTGGGGGTCCAGTGTCACCAGCTGTGGCCACCACTGTGGGGGTCCAGTGTCGCTAGCTGTGGCCACCACTGTGGGGTCCAGTGTCACCAGCTGTGGCCACCACTGTGGGGGTCCAGTGTCACCAGCTGTGGCCACCACTGTGGGGTCCAGTGTCACCAGCTGTGGCCACCACTGTGGGGGTCCAGTGTCGCTAGCTGTGGCCACCACTGTGGGGGTCCAGTGTCGCTAGCTGTGGCCACCACTGTGGGGTCCAGTGTCGCTAGCTGTGGCCACCACTGTGGGGTCCAGTGTCGCTAGCTGTGGCCACCACTGTGGGGGTCCAGTGTCGCTAGCTGTGGCCACCACTGTGGGGGTCCAGTGTCGCCAGCTGTGGCCACCACTGTGGGGGTCCAGTGTCACCAGCTGTGGCCACCACTGTGGGGGTCCAGTGTCACCAGCTGTGGCCACCACTGTGGGGGTCCAATGTCACCAGCTGTGGCCACCACTGTGGGGGTCCAGTGTCGCCAGTTGTGGCCACCACTGTGGGGTCCAGTGTCACCAGCTGTGGCCACCACTGTGGGGGTCCAGTGTCACCAGCTGTGGCCACCACTGTGGGGTCCAGTGTCACCAGCTGTGGCCACCACTGTGGGGTCCAGTGTCACCAGCTGTGGCCACCACTGTGGGGGTCCAGTGTCGCCAGTTGTGGCCACCACTGTGGGGTCCAGTGTCACCAGCTGTGGCCACCACTGTGGGGGTCCAGTGTCACCAGCTGTGGCCACCACTGTGGGGTCCAGTGTCACCAGCTGTGGCCACCACTGTGGGGTCCAGTGTCACCAGCTGTGGCCACCACTGTGGGGGGTCGAGTATCGCCATACCAATGTTGACTTAGGGTCGTCCTGAACGGTGGTGTCATATTCAAGTCATCTGTGTTGACTTCGCTTTTAAAACTGGCAACGGCGACTACTGCTGCAGCTGCTCCTCTTCCTGCAGCTGCTCCTGGTCTTCCTGGAGCTGCTGCTGCTGGTAAGAAATAAACAGATTTGATTGGGGGAAGACTTGCCTACTGACACGATCCACAACTGTCCGAGGAATCGTTGGAATCGTTGGAAACTGTGCTGGAATCGTTGGAAACTGTGCTGGAATCGTTGGAAACTGTGCTGGAATCGTTGGAAACTGTGCTGGAATCGTTGGAAACTGTGCTGGAATCGTTGGAAACTGTGCTGGAATCGTTGGAAACTGTGCTGGAATCGTTGGAAACTGTGCTGGAATCGTTGGAAACTGTGCTGGAATCGTTGGAAACTGTGCTGGAATCGTTGAGGAAACTCAACGATTCCAGCAAACTTTTCAACAA